TCGAATCCAGGGCCTCAGGCACCTTCCCAGCCCGGGGAAGGGATCTTTTTGTAGCTCCAATCTAACAATTTTATCTCCTCTTCCTAGGATCCGAGACACTGATGCTATAGTTTACTCAGGCTTGTTGATGTCATGTATTGCCATTTGTAGGTTCCAGATAATTTTCCCTGTCTTTCTGGGATAAAGATCACTTGAGTATAGTTGGGATAAAGATGTAATTGACTATAGTTGGGATAAAGATATACTTGGTTATAATGGGTCTATCTGCTAGCATTCCACGGAGGACTCTTATCTCTTCACATTAGAGAGATTGCTCCATATACTTCCTTGTTTGTAATTTGCTATCATTATGAGATTTGGGTCATGAGGAACTGATTGGAAAGCTTATCTTTTGCTAAGCTTTTTGGTTAGTTTCCTAAGAAGAGAAATTAGATTGAAGCTAATGTTTTAAAATTTTGAAGTAAGTAGTCACAAATTTAGATTTTTTTAACTCAGGGCCTGGGCTCTATTCCTGAGCCTCTTTTGCTCAAGGCAAGCACTCTACCACTTGAGCCACAGCACCACTTCCAGTTTTCTAGTGGTTTATTGGAGATAAGAGTCTCACGGAGTTTCCTGCCCAGGCTGGCTTTGAACGGTGATCCTCAGATCTCAGCCTCCTGAGTAGCTAGGATTACAGGCGTGAGCCACCAGCACCCGGCTACTTCCGGCTTTTTCTGTGTCTGTATTACTGAGGAATCAACCCAGGGCTTCAAGCATACTAGACAAGCACTCTACCACTAAGCCACATTCCCAGTCCTAGACATTCTTATAAAGGTAATTCTTTCAGAGCATAGTGCTTTATTTTAGAATTTTCCCCCATCTTTTTATTTTTTTTAATCTATTTTAGCTTTTTATTTCTATTTTCTTAGAAATGGTGGAGGCCAACAGGTAGGAAGAAGGGGACATAAGAATCATTTAATGGATATTTGTTTTCTGAAAAATAACTCATTTCATTGTCTTTTTCCAAAACCTTTAACATACTCATTATTATCATGCCTTTTATCTCTTGTATTTTCACACCTCATTTTGTTTCTTCTTTTTTTGATTAGGTAATAGCTTCCTTTTTCTGTTTTTTAATCCATTATAGCTATATTTGCATTGGCTTGCCCATTTGTCTAAGTTGTTGGTTATCTGATTTTTCACACTGAATATTTAGATTACCACTGTCTAATAGATATATAATATTATCCACACATATATTTTACTTAACTGAGTGCATCTATAATGTTAACATGGATGTCACCTTTTTATTATATTTTTATTACCTTTAGTTGTACAAAGTAGTTACTATTCAACAAATCCAGTTATTATCCAACAAAGTTTATGAGTGTAATGCATCTTGATCCATGTCACCCCTGTGATCATCCTTCCCCATTCCTCCCAACCTAACCATTCCCCTCAATTTTCTTGGTTTCATAGGCTACGCATTGATTTTCAAGTGTTACTCTTGCATTGATTTTCATATTTTACTCTTCAAAACCATCCTCTATCTGGCACATAACACATGTCAGTTCAGACAGAACAATGAATGTTTAATTGTCACATAGAGCTAGTATCCACTAGTGGACAACTATTGGACAACATAAGTTTACATGATATATTTTATTCCTTTATTTTTTTTGTCTTTTCTTTTTTGGTACTGGGGATTGAACCCAGGACGTTGCACTTGCTAGGCAAGCGCTTTGCCACTGAGCTACATCCCAGCCCTATTTTCTTCCTTTAATAGTCAAAATAGAAGGCTATAATTTGACCTCATATTCATTACAGCTTTGACCATATTACAGCTTTTTTCTCACAAGTATTTTTTGTTTTGTTTTGTTTTTTGTCATGGGGCTTGAACTCTGGGCCTGGACTCTGTCCTTCAGCTCTTCATCTCAAGGCTAGCACTCTACCACTTGAGCCACAGCGCCACTTCCAATTTTCTGGTGATTTATTGAAGATAAGAGTCTCACAGACTTTCCTGCTTGGGCTGGCTTTGAACCTCGATCCTCAGATCCCAGCCTCCTGAGTAGCTAAGATTATAGATATAAGCCACCAACACCTGGTTCCCACAAGTTTTTGTAGTTATTTCCTAAGTAATCTGTGTGTGCACCAGGACTTGAAGTCAGGGCTTCCTACTCTTACTTTTTTTTCTTAAGCATGCTTGGTACACTACTACTTGAGCCACACCTCCAGCCCAGCATTTTACTAGTTAATTGGAAACGGAGTTGTTGGGGTTTTTTTTTGTTCGTTTATTTGTTTGTATATTTAATTGTGGTGCTGGGGATCCTGGAGACTTGAGCATACTAGACAAGCACTCTACCAGTAAGCTAAATTTCCAGCCCTTGGAGATGGAGACTTGAGAGCTTTTCTGCCCAAGTTGGCTTCAATCCTCAGTTTTCCAGGTCTTAGCTTCCTGAGTAGCTAGGATTTTAGATAGTGCCTGCCTTCTAGGGTATATTTGATCTCTTTAGTCCATCTTTATTTACAAGAGTACCTCTTAAGTACCCAAGTAATTGTTTCCCTCCCCACAAACCCACAAACCCACACAACCCCTCCCTGGGGCTTGAATTCAGGGTCTGGGTGCTGGCCTTGAGCTTTTTTGCTCAAGGCCAGTGCTCTATCACTTGAGCTACAACTTCTGGATTTGAGGTGGTTAATTGAAATAGGATTCTCATGGATTTGTCTTGGCTAGGTTATCTTCAAACTGTGAGCCTCAGATCTCAACTAACTGAGTAGCTAGGATTACAAGTATGAGCCACTGGCACAGGGCTGATTTTATTTTTGATTGTTGTTAGTTCTTGGTCCCAGTATGTAACTTGTACAATTTTTATGTTTGAATATTATAGTATTACCACAGCTTATTATGAAACTTGTTCCAATTCAGGTCCGTTAATTTTATTACTTAAATCATCTAAGTAATTAACTTTCTAATCAATAATGAATGGCTGTGTAAGATGCCTTATACCTATAATCCTAGCTACTCAGGAGGCTGAGATTGGGAGGGTAAGGTTTGAGGCCAATCTAGACAAAAAGTTCACAAGACTCTATCTTAACTAATAAGAGTCGGGTGTGGTGGTATACACAGTGTGATCCCAGTTACATGGGAAGTGTACTGGGGGGGTGAGGGTAAATGTTCAGGCCAACCTGTGCAAAAAGCAAAACCCACGTGGAAAAAACAATGAAAGCAAAACGGGCTGAGGTGTGGCTCAAATGGTAGAGTACCTGCCTAGCAAGCACAAGGCCCTACGTCCAAAACCTTGGACTTCCAAAATAATAATAACAATAATAATACGATGTTTGTTGCTTTCTGTTTTTTCTTATGCCTCTTTTCTTTTTTTCTTTCTTTGTGAGACATAGTCTTACTAGGTAGCCCATGCTGGCTCCAAACTGGGCATTCTCCTTCCTCTACCTCCTGAACACTGGGACACCACCCAATAGCAGGACCCACACATTTGGTTTTTCAATAGCTTTTGATGCATTTTGGACCTATGATATTGACATTTATTATGGACAATATTTTATCTAAGCAAACAGCCTTATATTTTTATTTCATGATGCTCATCTTTCAACATACTTTGATTTTACTGATGTTTTTATTTTTTTAGTTGCCCAGTTATTGTTACGCATCCATTTATTTTATGTATCCTGCTTTCAGCTGCAGGAGAATGTCCAGTAAAGCCAGGCACCAGTGTGTAAGCCGGGCACCAGTGGCTCATGCCTGTAATCCAAGCTACTCAGAAGGGTGAGATATGAACAGTGGCTCATGCCTGTAATCCAAGCTACTCAGAAGGGTGAGATATGAAGACCACAGTTCAAACCTAGCCCAGGCAGAAAAGTCCCCATTAGACTCTTATGTCCAATTAACCATTCAAAAAACAGAAGTGGAGTTGTGGCTGTGCGTGGTTGAGCATTAGCCTTGAGGAAAATAGCTCAGGGACAGCACCCATGCCCTGGGTTCAAGTCCCATGGCTGACAAAAAAGGAGAAAGAAAGAACAAACAAAAGAATGAAAGGAAGGAAGGAAGGAAGGGTGTGTATGTTTCTGTCTGTATGCATGTAACTGGAATTAACTCAGGGCCTTGAGTGTTCTAGGCAAGTATTATTTTTTATCAATAAAACTAATGCAAACTTTTAACACACCATTTTAAATATTTAGTCAGTAGTGTTAACTATATTCACATCATTGAACAAATCTCCAAAATTTTTTCATCTTGCAAAACTCTCCCTACCCACAAGTGACTCACCATGTCCTCCTCTCCCCAGCCTCTAGCAACCACCCTTCTACTTCCTATTCTTTAAGTTTACTCGCGACATTTTCCCCATGTCAGAATCCTGGCCTCCTTCAGAGTTCTGATTTCCACATGAAAGTAATGACTTCTACCATGGGGGATCCCTCAACCATTTACTGGAACCTTCTGATGGCTTTTAACACCAGCTCTTGTATTACAGTTAGGGGTGAAAATGCCTTATTCTAACCTCCAGTATAGTACTGGCATACAGAGAAGAGAAAAGAAGGAAGGAAGGAAAGAAGGAAGGAAGAAAGGAAGGGAGAGAGAGAGGGAGGGAGGGAGGGACCAGATGGGTGAATGAGTGACTGAATGGATGAATGGATGAGTATGTGAACAGATAGATGAATTAGTGAATGAAGGAATGATGCTTCAGACCCTCCCAAGCAAGGACTAGTATTTTTAGCCAATGCTGGAACTGCAGTGGGGCTCAGTGGCCGACTACTGACCCTGTGTGAGACTGGCTCCCTTCCCAATGGAGAGGACAGTGACTTGGTGGTTGGCCAAAGGAGTTGGGTGGGAAGATGAAGAGTCTGGGAAAGGTGTCCTTCCCTCCCATTCCAGACCTCTCCTCAGAATTGGAATCACCAAGACAAGGCTCAAGGGCTCAAGGGCCAGCCCTTGAACAACAGGTGGTGTCCTGGCCCCATCCCCAGCCCCTGCAAGACTAACACAGCCCCTTGTGCCTCCACAGAAAGACTTCACCGTGCGCGAGGAACTGCAGCAGCAGGACGTGGAGCGCTGGCTGGGCTTCATCACCTTCCTGTGCGAGGTGTTTGGCACCATGCGCAGCAGCACAGGCGAGCCCTTCCGCGTGCTGGTGTGCCCCATCTACACGTGCCTCAGGGAGGTAAGAGACCAGGCTCCGCCCCAGCCACGGCCATGCCCACCTGCCCCGTGGAAATGGAAGATACACTTGCAAACCCCATAAAAGCTACTACCATAGGGGATGGGACCTTTGGTAAAGAGATCTTTCAGGGTTTTGCTTCCAAAACCAGTTTCTAGTTATTGAGTTTACTTAAAGAGTAAACTTTTTTATTTCAGGCTTCAGTAATTTCTGATCTAGAGTATTACTTCAATGAATGTGTCCTTGGGTTGAGTTAGTTTGTCATTGAATGATCTTATTTATTTTTAAGGGTTAGTAGGTTGGTTTTGTGTAGTGCTAGGAATTGGACCCCAGACCTTATGCATGCTAAGCAAATGTTCTACTACTTAAGTCATATCCCCAGCCCTTGGTATCTTTGTTTTTAGAAAGGACGTATTTGTTCTAAATTTCATCTGAAAAGGAGATAAATAAGAATAACGAAGAGCCAGGCTCTGGTGGCTCACACCTATAACACTAGCTACTCAGGAAGCTTGTGATCAGAGAATTGCAATTTGGAGCCAGCCTGGGCAGACAAATCCAAGAGATTCTTATCTCCAATTAACCAGCAAAAGGTCAGAAGTAGAGTATGGCTCAAGTGGTAGAGTGCCAGCCTTGAGTTAAAAAAAAAATGTCTAGTGAGAGTATAAATACCAAGAAGGACTAGGGCTGCTTGCCCTCCTAAATAGTAAAGACACTTTATAAGGTCTCTCTTGCTGAACTGAAAGGGGGAAAAAATGAAAGCTGGAGGCCAGTTGGGATCTTTGGTACCATCTAGAGCAAAGCTGGTGGCTGGAAATACAGTCACATGCATGAGGAGCAGGCACAGTGTTGAAGTCTGGTTGTATTTTTGAGTTAGAGTCAATGGGACACACTCATGGAAGGTAGAGGAGAAGAGACAGAGATCCTGTTTACCAGCTTGGAGGTAACATTTTCTGGGGTGGTGAATGGGGAACAGAAGCAGGCCAGGATAAGAGCCAGGAGTCTGGACTCAAGATAATTATATTTGGGCCACCTGTTGACCACCTTCTGCATGCTTACCCAAGACTGATGGGCAGAAGAGTCTGGAGGTCCCTGAGAAGTCACCTGGGAGAGTGGATGTGTCCCTGGTGCTAGAAACTAGGGATGATGGCATCACCCAGGGAGAGGACTGAGTCAGCAGAGGGGCAGCAATGGAGGGCCTAGAGGAGAAAGTTGGAACACCAGGAGAGGAAGGTATTAAGAAGACTCCATGAGAGCTTGTGAAGACCAGCACAGCAACAGCTGGTGTCAGCGCACCTTTTATCTAGAATGTCTGGCCCTACCCTGGCCCCTCTGCCACCAGCAGGATGTATAGAGGGACAGCTTTTAGAGGACCAAAGGACAGGGAAATGGCCAGGGTCTGGCAGCAATTAGAAAAAGGGCCTGGGGCTCAATGGGAAGAGGTGGTGTGTGTGAGTGACTCTTTTCAAGAGGGTGGAAGGGAAAGAGAACTACTGGTTTAAGGAGAGGAGTGGGGTGAAGAGATGACTGACTGTGCTCTTGAATAGATGATGGCAAAGAAAGTGATGTGTTTGTATTTGGGGAACATCCATGTATAGGACAACAGTATGTTTATTATACCCTAAAGCCAAGCATGCAGCCCCCAAGGGTACCTTGTAAGCCCACAGTCTCAGAGACTCCAAGTAGGTGAACTCTGTGTCTTCACAAATGCCCTTGAGTTCAGACTTGTTCAGATGCAGCCCACTCCTGACTTGATTTCCCTCTCAAGGGTCTAGGTTCATTGGTCAGTGCCAAAAGAACTGGCAATTTGGCCTTTTGCATCCCTTTGGGATGAATGGAAAGCAGACATCCCTGAGGCAGAGAGTTGTCCAGGAGCTTCTGGGATCCATCCATCCTTGCCTGCATTTCCCTGTGCCCCCAACAAATCAGCTCAAGGCAGAGAACAGCCCTATTCTAGGGCAATGACCTAAGTTACCCCAGCTCTTTTACTCTATGTGATCTGGACAGTTTCTAAGGTGGTCATCATCTGCTCCCTGAGAAGGATGTAGAGCCATTGCTTAGCACTGGCCCTGGCCGTGGGGATGTTTTTCTACCACCTGAGACAGTGTGAGATCCAGAGACCTGCCCAGACAAGAAACAATCAACCCTTCCTATGTACATTGCTTGATGAATTAAGCTTTGGGGGACAGTTTGAAAAACAGAACCACATCATGCTCATGATAATTTTGAAGGGTAATAAATCATTATTTTGTAAAAGAAGAGACCCTCATCCCCACACATGAGCAGCATTCAGGGGTTGGAGGGCAGGGGGTCTTTACATGCTGGCTCTGTTATCTTTTAGCTGTGCCATCTTGGGGAAAAGTCTTGCTGGGCTGAGCTTTCCTCATCTGCATAAGGGCTTGTGGTACTTTCTCTGCAAGAGTTTAAGGAGGGTAGCAGGACATGAAGAACAACTGACTACATGCACGAAAGGAAATGCCTGGAGGACCCATTGTAAGATGTTGGCTCTCAGAAAGCTGGTGTCCTCCAAGCTGGTGGAGCTGAGGAATCCAGAACAGAGAACAGGTCTTATCTTTTTTTTTTTTAATTAAGTAGTTGTACAAAGGGGTTACAATTCCATAAAGCAGGTTATGAATATAATGCTTCTTGGTCAATATCAATACTTCCTTCTCTTTCCCCCATTCTCCCCCTCCCTCCTCAAGTTACATAGTTCATTGTTTTACATAGTGTACATTGAAAATGTCTCAAGTTAAAGGAAACGTGAGTTGAGTGTCCTGACAGGACACACAGCTGCTCCATGCCAGCATGGGCCTGGAGTTCTTGAACTTGCCTTGTGGGTCTTTTCCAGAGCTCACTTGGCTTTCCTAAAATGACGTGTTCAGAAAAGATGACATAAAGAGATGCCCTTTAGGGATCATGAGACCTTTCCCATTTCCTTCAACCCTTGAATTCTTAGCTGCTGCTTTCTCTGCCTTATCAAACACACATATACACAGGTCCAAAGCATCATGAGTCAGCTCCTGGAAGTTTCTAGAGCACTGGTGCTGCCTATCCCAGGCTGGGAAAGCATGAGTTTTTGTGGCTGATTAAAAATCCATAGCACCCTCCCTGTGTCAACTCAACTGTCCTAGTCAGACTCTTCATCCTTTTTGAGAAATACCTGAAAGAAACAGCTTAAAAGAGGAAAGATTTCTTTTGACTTGACTCTCAATTTCAGAGGTTTCAGTCCATGGTCACCTGTCTCCATTGTTCTTAGGCCTGGTTTTCAATGTGATTGAAGAGTTGTATCGATCAGTTAAAGCTGTCTCCTGTTTACACTTTGGATTTTCTTGGCAAGCTCTTTTTTTTGTATTATTTTGTATTGTTTATTGTAATTATAAAGGTGACATACAGGGGCATTACAGTTACATAAGTCAGGTAATGAGTACATTCCTTTTTGGACAATGTCTCCTCTTCCCTCACTCTCTGACAGTTATTTTGCATTTTTTAAATGTATTACCATAATGGTATTTAATGGGAGAACAACTCTTAACAGAATAAATGTAAATGTGGTATATAGTTGCCTGTATCATATAGGGGGGTTGAATTTTTCCACATCCTCACCAGCAATTGCTGTGTTTTGTTTCCTTGTTTAAAGCCATCCTAACAGAGATGAAGTGCAATCTCATTGTGGTTTGGATTGGCACATCTTGAAGGATTAGTGACACTGGGCATCTTTTCATACACCTGCTGATCATTTGCATATCTTCTTTGGAGCAATGTTTATTCAAACCCTTAGACTGCCTTTTAATTGAATTTTTAGGTTTGCTACCACTGGGTTGTAGGAGTTCCTTAGATATTTTGGATATTAACACCTTTATCTGATTATGGTTTGCAAATACCTTCTCCTATTCTGTAGGTCAACTTTCTCTGTACACGGGTTGTTTCCTTCATTGTACAGATGTCTTTTGGTTTGACATAAACTTTTGTGTTTATTTTTGCTTTGTTGCCTGTACTTTCGGAGTCATATCCAAAATCATTGCCTAGACTAAAGTCAAGAAGCTTTCTCCTTCTATGTGCTAGTAGTTTTGTGGTTTCTAGTCTATACTGAATGAGGAAAAGGGTCTAAATTCATTCTTCTGCATGTGAATATCCAGTTTTTATAATATTGTTTATTGGCAAGATTTTCTTCCCCACAATGTGTTCTTAGCACCATGTTGAAGATCAATTGACGATAAATGTGCAAGTCCTATTTTGTTCCATGAAATATAGATATGTTTTGTTTTTATGCTGTTATGATTGTTTGGATTACAATAGATTGGTAGGTTTACTTTTTCTATCCAGGACCTTTTGTGACTCTGGATGAATTTTAGAATGTTTTAGTATTTCAAGTTGGGTGCTAGTGGCTCCCATCTGTAATCCTAGCTACTCAAGAGGCTGAGATTGAAGGAATATGATTTGAAGCCAGCCAGGGCAGAGAAAGAGGAAGGGATAGATAAAAAGAAAAAAAAAGATTGCTATATAGGGAGACTTTGTCTCAAAAAGAAAAAATTCTAAAGAGTTCCTTCACAAAGCTATTACAAGTTTTTAGATGAACTCAGACCTCACACTTACTAAGCAAGTGCCCAACCACTTGAACCACACCTCCATCCCCCTAAAACTTACAGTTAATAAATTCAATTAAGTTGCAGAATACAAAAATCAAATGCAAGGATCATTTGCATTAATATATACTAATAACAAACTAGGTAGGCAAAAAGAAAACTAGGAATACACTACCACTTAAATATCTCCAAAGAGAATAAAACACTTGGAAAACACCTAGCTAAGGAAGTAAAAGAAGATCTGTGCACTGAAAACTACAAAACACAAATGAGAGAAACTAAAGAAGACACAGACAAATGGAATAGCATCCCTGAGCTCCACTGAGGAGCATTCTTAGGACGCCTGCACCCTGCCCAAGACCTCAGCCAAACTAACTGTGCCGGTTGCACCCCTCAGGAGAGTGACATAACTGAGTCAGCCCC